CGAAGCCCCGGGGCTGCTGGTGCTGGTGGCCAGCGCTGCCGGGCACGCGGCGCGGCGGGCGGCGGTGCGGGCGAGCTGGGGGTCGGCGCGGGAGGCGGGCGGGCTGGCGGTGCGCACCGTCTTCGTGGTGGGGCTGCCCGCGGAGGAGGAGGCGGAGGAGGAGGCGGCGCTGCAGGCGGCGCTGGAGCGGGAGGCGGCCGAGCGCGGGGACCTCCTGCAGGGCCGCTTCGCCGACACCTACGCCAACCTGACGCTGAAGACGCTGGCGCTGCTGGGCTGGGCCGCCGCCCGCTGCCCCGCCGCCCGCTTCCTGCTCAAGGCCGACGACGACGTCTTCCTCAACCTGCCGGCGCTGGGCCGCCACCTGCGGACGCTGGACGCCGCCGAGCGCCTCTACCTGGGCCGCGTCCACTGGAGGGCCGTGCCCAGCCGCGACCCCGCCAGCCGCCACTACGTGCCCGCCTCGCTCTACCCGGAGCCCGCCTTCCCGCCCTACTGCAGCGGCACCGCCTACGTCCTCTCCGGCCCCGCCGCCGCCGCCGTCCTGGCCGCCGCCCGCCACCTGCCGCCGCTGCCCCTGGAGGACGTCTTCGTGGGGCTCTGCGCCCGCCGCGCCGGGCTCTTCCCGCGCCACCTGGCCCGCATGGCCGGCTCCGCCCGCTTCCCGCCCGACCCCTGCTGCTACCGGGAGGTTCTCTACAGCGCCCACCGCGTCACGCCCGCCCAGATGCTGGCCATGGCCGCCCAGGCCCAGCTCCCCTGCTCCGCCTGGCACCGGCTCCTCGGGCTGGCCCGCTGCAAGGCCATCAGCTGGCTGGCCGGCGACGACGGAGGAGAGGCGACTGCGGGAGCCGGCTCCCCTCGGAAGGCTGCGGCCCTTCGGCGGAGGACGGAGCAGGGCGCCTCCCGCTCATCGGTCTTCCCGGCGGCCCTTCCCCGCTGAGCGAGCGACGGACTCCGAGAGGACTTTATGCGGCAGCCGCCGGGAAGAAGCTGCCCCACAGACCTGAGGGGCGTCTGGAGGGACTTGGAGAGCAGCGAGGCTGCGGGGACCCTCCTGCCAGCTGGAACGGGGGCTGGGAAGGCAGCAACTTTGCCCTCAGCGGGGAGTTCAGGCTCTGGGGGGCCCAGGAGGAGCCCTGCACTTTCCCAGGGGCCCCTGGAGTTGGGGGGGGAGGGGGCTGCAGCCCTTTACCTGGGGGTGGGTGGGGGTCCTGTGTGACAGGAAGCCCCCCGCAGAACCCAATGGGCATATTTCTTTTTGGGGGGGTTGCTTCTCTGCCCCCCTCATCCCAAGGACGCTTCATGCACCCCCTGGAGAGCCCCCCCTTCTTTGCCAACTGCTCCACCCCCCCAGAGAGATGACGCAGGTCAACCAATCACAAGTCTGTATTCAGGCAAAGGTCCAGAGTCCCAAAAAGCCCCCGAGGAGTTTCAGGGAAGGTCCATGGGGCCCAGCTGTCCAGCACACGGCCGGTGTCCAGAGCCTGAGCCACTCACAGCCACCGTCCTGCGTGTGGCAGGGAAGCCAGAGTCCTCTGCCCGCTATTTCCGGAAGCGATCCAGCGCCGAGCTGTGGGCCGCGGGGAGTTTGGTCTTGGGGGCCGCCGGCTGCCCCTCTGCCTTGGCAGCCAAGCTCTTCCGGACCAGGGCCTGCCGGGAGGAAGGTGGGTGGGCGTGAGCAGGAACTGGCAGAAACCCCCCACCACCACCCCGTCCCCACAAGAGCCGGGGCCCAACCCGGTGAATGTGCTGCTAACTCCGGCCCTCTGGAACGAACTCCCCGTGGAGATTCGAACCCTCACCACCCTCCAGGCCTCCCGCAAAGCCTTTAAAACCTGGCTGTTCCGACAGGCCTGGGGCTAAAGAGCTTTTGCCCCCCCCCCCCTCGAATGGTATGGTTGTTGTGTGTTTTTAAATTGTGTATTGTTCTGTTCGTCTTTTTTATTCCTTATTTATACGCCCCCCCCCTTGACTTGGATTGTAAGCCGCCCAGAGTCCCCTTTGGGGAAAA